AAAGGAAACATGTCCTCGGTTTTACCTGCGACACAGACCTAGCCGGTCTTGGACCAAGGAATGGATTTCACTATGAACCTAACCTTTGAACTATATAGAACATAATGATAACTTTCAAGGAAGTGAAATACATAAAAATGTTTATTAATAAACAGCGACAAGTCCATTCTAATAATGGCGTTAGGCAACGGAAATCTCGGTTTCGTTAAACCCCAAAACGCCAACGCCATATCTTATAATAATTTTAAACGTGACCATTCAAATAACAATTTAGAAGACGTTTGGGATTCAATGAAACCGAGTAAAATAACTATAAAATAATTTTGTACTCGATCGGCGGCCTACATTTTGTTAGTTTTAACTTGATTACATTTTTAATGACTAAAAAAATATTAATTGTGCTCTGTTTTTTTTTTTATATAGAATTGCCAAAAATATTAATTACATTTCCTTTGGGGGGTTTTTTTTTTTATAAAAACTAAATCTAAAAACAAAATCCTGCGGCGTCCCCGTCATTTTCCGGTCGGCCCTCTTTTTAGTGTTTTGCCTAAAATACGACGGAACAATAAATTGTCATTAATTATTATTTCATAATATTTTTGCGGGAAAGAGGCGCAATAACCATGTTAACCAAAAACACAAAAGGTAAATGTGTTTCTTTTCCGTATATTTTCTTAAAGCACAATCAGTCAAACTCTGGAGGACCAGTGAAGATTACAGCAACAGCTTTTTATGGGTCAACACCTGTGTTTTGGTTAATGCCATACTTGCTACCTCTAGGGTGCGCAGGAAATAAATTAGTATCCACCTAAATATTTTTAAAAAATATCTAAGGAAAACGACGAATGCGTGTGATGAGTGAATCTTATTTTTTAATTTTAATCTTTGTGTTTAGTGTAATACAAAACTTGTTTTATGTGTGTGGCAACTCAAGAGTATTGTCGATTCAGTTGTTTTGTAAATGATTTCTAATTTTAAAAAAGTTGTTCACATAATTTTTTTGTAGTAATTTGTGCTTTATACACAGTTTTAAATGTAATTTTATTTAATTAGTGGGAATACAATTTTTTTTATTGTTTTAATGACTTTTGATTTTAACATATTATGTCCAAAGCAAATAATGAGTGTTATCATCATATTGGTTTTTTTAAGTAAAAAATTAAAAATTATAAACAATTTCCCATGGCAAAACATTTCATAGCTAAGATTTTATATGCTACGGTCGTAATTTGCATAAAAAAGGATACAAGCAAAGCCGAGGAGGATCAGTTGAACTTTCTTTGGAAAGAACAACATTAGCAAGGGATGACATGGTTCAATACGGTGTTAACTCATCAGGGCTTATATTTGGAAAAAATGAATTTATCCGCTTTAAAGCACTACGAGCGAGCCACTAAAGTGAAAATAATCCCTTTATTGATGGGATGCGGTTATGGACAGAAGTTGACTGACTTTCTCTGGTTAACGACCTATACAGTAACTAAGTGCAGAGGTTCAAATTATGATTCCAGTAAGGATTGTTGGAAACGCCTTGTAGATTATCTCAAAAAAGGTGCGCATACTATACTCAAATTGTTGCTCGCGTTCAAGAAAAAAAATCGTGTGTCATAGTTTAATTAAATAGGAGCAATTTTTCTAGCTATCTTGAGAAAGACATTTTTTAAAATTCTCGTTTTTAAACTAATCGTGGTATTCAACATTAACATTTTAACTACTGTGTTTTTTTATATAGTTTTTAATCATATTTAATAACATATCTGCCTTAACAAAATCTATACTTTATTGGAATTTTACTGCGGTAAACGGTTTTCTTATTATTTATTATATTCTGTCGTACTACTTTTCGGCTAAGGTTTAACTCAATATATGGAACGCATATTCAATTTGAAAAGTTTTGCCACCTGGGCAGCAGCCATTATTTGTAGGTACTAATTGTGGGTGTAAGGGCTTAGCTAACCCTGTAAATATTTTGGCATTAACATAGCTATGGGTGCTACGTGTCGACTCTAGTTTTAGTTATCAATTATATGAATTCCTCCTTCCTTTTGGTGGGCGAAACTGGGTTGGATCGATGCCAAGGCTCGTCCGTTGTTATGTAGATATCTGTGATTATAATTTAAACTCGAGGATAGATTTATGGAGAATCACAATATCAGCTATTTTGCACGGCCGAGGTAAATAAACGGACATGAAATATTTCAAGTCGGACGACTTGGCTCAGAATTTGTTCGCAAAGCCTTCAGTGGATTGTGGCCAAACTAGTTTACATAAGCGATCGATTCGGATACGGTCGGGAGAGTTTTTAAAATGAAACGCCTAAGACCGTTCGTAAGACGAAGAACATTTCTTGGATATTTTTTACATTTTTTCCATTATGACTTAAGAGGCGGCCGAGTTTAGTGTATGCCAGCCGAGTCGGGCAAACAAGTTGAGGATAATTCCCAAACCGATGCTGTGTATCCGACGTAGTGTTATATAACCTAAACGTATAATAACCATTATGTGGGCGCCGTAATGGCGTTTGTCTTGCAGCCTTATACCTTTTTTATGTGTATCGGACCTCGATCGGGTAACGATTTGTGTAAATCCAATAGGATTCATGTCCATTTGCCAGGAGTAGTGGCAGTGTAGAATTATTCATTTTCAACGCTCCCCCTGGTTCACGTCAATATTTTTTAGCTTAGAGCTAACTTAGTTAAAGTTAGAGTTAAAGTTTAAACTTAGCTAAGCTTAAAGGGTGTTTTTTTAAAAATATTTATTTGTAAACCTAATGGACGGGTATATAAATGACATCTCACGTTTCAAAGTAACAAAAGCTAATTAATACAAAAAAGCACATTAATACAATATACTAAGCGACACATTTAATGTAAGACAATAGTTTTTTTTCAAAAATGTTTACAATTTTGTAACTGAAATTTTAGGTTTATGTTATTTTACCACAACATTCATATTCGTATCATAATTTGGTAAATTCTAAAGCTTTATCAAATTTTGAAACTTAAACGTCAACGTATGTGTTTTATTAACTTTTTAAATGAAAAATAATTTACTGAAATTGTTGACTGGTCAAAAACTACTTTTGAATGATTACTTTGAAAGTTATTAGAGTTTAGAATTTAGGAGGGCAATACTAGCTGAGAAGGTATTGGTGTTGCCGCAATAATGTGATTTTGTGGGTCTTGAGCCGTGATAACACCTTAAATACTGGACTATTTCTCAATTCTCATCATAGCCAAACTGGCTATAAATATAGATTATAGATCAGAAATTTATCACAAAGGTATTAGGCAAACATTTGAGAATGCTTATAAAACATACATTCGATATTGAAATATTTTTAAACTAGAAAATAGCCCACTCTATAACTTTCCAAAAAATAATCAAAATTTAACATCGTTTAATTGGAAGTTTTAACTTCGATCCGAAGCTGAGATATTTTATAACACAAATTAAAGATAAAAAATGTTTGATACATTTATTAGAAATTAATTTATATTATACACTATTGTAATAATTGTTCAATGGTCCATACCTTAGTTTTGTAATTTGTTATCAGCAATTACTGATTTTTTTTTAAACCCAAATCTTAGTTTTTTACTAGGAATTGAGTTTTTTTTTCAAATTAATAAAGCCAAGTGTGCAATACATATTTGTTTACGAAAATAACTTAATCTTTAAAATGCGTTTTTTTTTATTTCCAATAAAAAAGAGAAAAAAATGCGTTCCACGGAAGTACACGGCCGAATAAACCGAAACCCTCGATTTAATCTAAAAAGATCTTTGCAAGTAGAACGGCATTTGGGTGTGTACGAGAAAGGTTCATTTGAATTTTTATTTCTGTAAAATACCTAGTGTATAGTAATTTAAAAGGGACGGTTCGCATCCTGTTTGTTATTTTAAATTCGTTAAAATAAATAATGCTAGGTAGACGTCGCCAGTAAACGGCGCCTCGTCAAGCATTCTTGATATTCAAAATAGGCACCGTGACGTGGCAGGAATGCTACAATTTTTTTTTTTCATGTTATTATCCCCGACGTGATGGGTTGGTCTCATTCGATTTAAATATCGTAAAAGTACGCAATGGACAAATTATCTTGTCTGGGAAAAACTGTTCTAGTCAAAGCTGCGCTGTCTAGAAGGTCAAAGTAACTCTTGTACTCGAGTTTATCCTACGACCAGTTTTAACAAAACATGATCAACGAGAGGACGAAGAATAAACGGATAAATCGTTTAAAGACAAGTGCTTGGACGGAAACGTGTAATAAATCGATCATCGTAGAACTAATATGCATATCAAATGAGTGAATGGGTCGAGTGAGCGGGACATGTCCGAGATCACAAGAAAATATATCCTACTGTGCTCCTCTAAACGTTTTCTGGATGAGGAAATTTACAGGACAATTATTTGGCCTCTATGAATATCCTTGAGGAATTTGATGTATGACTGCATTAAGCGTTAGTGATTAAGAACTGTTCAATTATGGATTTGGCTAAGAATTATTATTAGAGATTGACACAGTATGATTTTCGAACGATTAAAAGAGCAGATAAACATGGACCAAGCGAGATATGGATGTTGACGAATAGATCATAAACAACGGGTGTAATGGACTTGATAGTTTTTAAAGTGAACGTCTGATGTGAAGCTACAGGAGAAACCATAAGGAATGTGTGTGTAAGAGTTGGTTAATAGTAGGGAATATGGATTTAGACTGCAAACATATGGTATTGTGTAGAGCGAAACAGTAATTAAAGCGGGAAATGTATTGAATGGAAAGAGGCGAAAAAAAAAGATAGCTTGAAGTAGTTGCCAACGATACGAGGGTGGCTGGTTTAGCGTGGAAACGTGGACAGAATTTTAAGTGCTGGCAAAGGACTATAGGGTGGGCATAGCTTCAAGTATAGCGTCGGTGATGGAAAAAGACGATTCGTTTTAATTATAATAGCATGTTTTATTACACACTAAAAGTTAATTAATTCTTCTTTTTTTTTTTTAGAATCATAATGAGTTTTTCTTCGGAATCCGGAGCGGAAGCGGCGGCCATCGCGAAGAAATTAAACTTGGAAAAAGCGACAAATTTCATGAAACAATACAGAGACCCGCACAGCCGAGAACTGAAGAAACTCTCGGCTAACCAATTCATGGACGTCTGGAGTCATTACGATAAAGACGGTAAGCTATACGAGTGTGGTGTTCATAACCGTAATACCATTATCTAGTCTAGTTTATTGTTATAAGTATTTAGGTTTGTATAAACGATATAGCCACAGTGTGCAAGTAGTTTCCACGTGAACACTACGGCCGGTGTACATTAAGCGCTAAACCTCGTTTCTCGTTTATTAATATTAACGTGGGCGATAAGGACGAGAGACGTTTTCTGGTTCACACAATAGCTAGTTGTCTACAATTTGCCTTCATTAACATAATGTGTACAGCGGCCTAGGAGATAGTAGGTACACTGTATAAATATGTTGCCCAGTTGTGCAATATTTCAATCGACTAAAGTGTTGATGAAAATATAAAAACAACCATCACTCAACGCAACATTAGTTATGATACAAATTTTCATCCAAATAAACTTTCAGTGAAGTACGTTTTGAATTTAACAACAAGTTTTGTTACAGAATGACAAAACTCGAATGTTCTTTCATCTGAAAACCCAATTGTTCCTGTAATTTCGTCTTCTTTAACTGATAATACTCGGTTTTGTACTCACATTAAGTGTTTGAACTTTGTATTGGAATCTTTCAACCAACAAAGATTGTTTGATGTCTATCTTTTTTTTTTTGCTGATGGAAATGACATTGTATAACCGAGGCGGAGGTGATTTGGTAAAGCTCACCCTAAGCGTTTGGTGTTCTGTTATAGTTTAAGTGTGATTTTAATAAGTCAAATAAAATGTTTTTCCTCCTGACGATTCCTAAGTAAGCTGTAACAATTTTTTACGTTGTTTTGACAATACTAATCATTGTAAAACGAATATTCTCGATGGAGCAATTAACCTACCTTTTAATATATTGTAAATAATTATTTTTTTATTCCTTAAAATATGATATTATGCTTATCAAATGCTTTGCAACAACACTACTAGATGATGTCCCGGTCGGTGGTCAACAATATCTTTACCATTTCTGGCTTGAATGGGCAATGGTTACATTTTGTTACTAGCCCTGTTGAGTGTAAGTTGGTGAACAAATACACAATTTATAGAATTGTAGTCGGTAGTCGATCCTATAAAGTCGGGAGAAGAAAAATACGAAGAATCGTCATTAATTGATTGGGAAAATAGCATTTGGTGTCCAACACTGCTGTGAGATGTATACCAATTAGGGATTGCAATCTAATTAGGAACAATGCCTGTGGTTGATTGGATTTTCGAAAAAACACACGAATAAGCATATTGTAAAATGTTTAATCAAATCTATCACAAACAAAATATATAGAAAAGGTCGAGAGTCGAGGGCTTTACTATTGATTTACGCTCCGGGTGATTATTTAATAAACAACTGAATTCGTTTTTTACTTTTTTAACAAAAAAAAAGATGAATTTATATACGCCGCACGTTATCATCCTGAACACCGTTGGTAGGTCTACGGGGATTTTATATTATTTCCTGTTGCCTTTCCCCGTTGTGCTCCATTCCAAATTACACGCACAATCTCTCTATCTACATCATAAATATAGACTACAACAGCTTTGAAACATACAAAAAAAAAAAAAACGATAATTATTATTTACATTACATTTTTTTAAACGTGGAATCAACAACAATGGCTTAAATTAATAAAAAAATACCGCCGTTTCGTTTTGCTCGTTAGGAATATAATATAACAACGATATTATACTTGTTTGTATGCTGACCGGATTTCCAAAACAAATTCCTGTACAATCGTTCCGTCAAACCGTCTACTTGTCGCTGCTGTGTTTTCGAAGGGGAAACGGAAAATACATTTTTATTATTATTATTATTATTCTCGAGGTCAAACGGCTATTGCGTTCCGTGACGATATTAACTTTGGTAGTTTACAGCCTCGCCCCTCCTTTAAAATTAATGGCACCCACCAGTTTTTAAAGAATAGTTTTGCAACAGTAAAGTCACTATGAACGGCTTTCACTGACACGCAATTCCTTTGCTCGGAATGTAAGTTGTACTTGCAATTTATCGCCATCGTTTTAATCTACATTAAACATCTGATCATCCCCATCAACTTCAGTTTAAAAAACAAAATAACCGTAAAATTGCCGACATATTCTGTTGTGTTAATTTATATAGTGTCAATTGAACACATGCACGCAAAACGGAGTAAATAGTTTACTACTAATAGTTTGCAAACATCCCGCCTGTAGGCCATAACAAACATGAATTTTTCAAGTAACAAAATTACTAACAATGTATAGTAAATATTTTTTTATGGGAATTAAAGCTATAGTGGAAAATATACGACTACTGCGAACACCGTGAAATAACGTATGTAATAAAAGTAAACGTTTGCCAACATTAACTTACAGGATTCCTATAGAATCGCTTTTCTTGTAAGTTATTTTATCATTTCCAAATCGTTTGCCATCTCTCAACAATGGCCGTTAGGATCCCGCTGGGCGATAATTTCTTATTGCATTTCTCATTGTTATGTTTCAGCAATTCGGACGGCATTATAATATGTCAAACGTTTATAATATATGAACCGTTAAAGTAGTTCACACCTTTTTTCCGTATTGATATACTTGAACCTTTTTGCCCCAACAACAATTCGCTGGAAACAACGGTTGTTTCTTAGTTTGCATAATTGTTTACAGCGTTTTTGGAAAATTCTTTGAATTTTATTTTGCGTTCAAAAGTTTATTATAATATAATACTTACCACGAGTTTCGCTGGAACGCAGGTTGTGTTAACGCAGTAATTATAGTATAGAAATAATTGACAGTCGAGTTACTGCGAATAATAATAATAATAATTTAAACGTTTCTCGAAATAATGAAATTCCGGATTTTAAACATTTCAACGAGTTCGCAATTCATAACTTTAACATCTATAGCAATACTGCTTTGGAAGCTCATTCCTGGCAAGATGCCGAATTCCGTGTAATTTTCCGTGGCAAATCCACTGACTTCGTAGTCGGTTCTTGTGACCGTTCACCGATTGATCTGAGCTACGTCTACAAAGATCACAAGACTTCCACGTCACCCTAAGTATTTTATCTATGCAATATGTTAACCATTAGGTAAACCAATAGTAAACCAACGGGTTCGGCGCCTGCGGACAAAAATGTATTTTGCATGCCCGACAAAACAACACGAAGACGGCGATTGTCAATTTATAATCACGCGAATAAAGTACTCGCCTAATGATATAATGCAACAAGCTCAACCCACCAGATATACTATCGAAGTTCGTCACGCACCAGTATAATAGCATGCCATTATCCAGACAACAGTTTAGCGAATAACATTGCGAAATAATATATTTCAGAAATAATCAAATCCGTTCTAGAATAATTAAATGTGCAAGTACCTAAATGATAAATAGATATCTATAGGAGAGCACTCGAGATAATGATAAATCATTTTTGTTTGTAGAATCTGAATAAAATGATTAACCAAAAAAATATTACTATTCGAGTTGATACAATATTACAATGAACATAATTTTTCGGATATAGTTTTATCGTTGATTCATTCATTGACATAAAGTAACGAGTGTGATTTCCCCCTTATTTAAAATTTTTTTCTCAATAAAAAACAACTAATTCGAATATTAAAAAAAAAAAAGTTATAAAAAACCGTAGTTTTAAGTTGAAAATATTAAATGTTTTGCTTTGGCGTTTTCCCTCTATTTTGAAGACGAAGCGGTGATCTTTCTGAATTGGCTTGCTACATGAAGAAGTCGGTTCATCAGTTTAGAAGATGTCAAGGGCTTAGCACAAATAAAAATACAAGTAAAAACAATACTTTCCAGCTCCGCAACGCAGTTAAAACTATTTATTTTCATCATTGTTTAATTGTTTTTAATAGAAGCTTATAGAAATCACATAAGTAATATTCATTTAGTCTAGCCTATGCGGCTAAATCGTAATGTTTATTTTGACTTTGGACTGCTATTGTGGGTTTTTTTTTCTAACCTTAGTCGTCTTAATCCACCCCGGCCAGAGTATAATATAATCTCCGGAACGTAGCCATTTTGCCTAACCAAGACGCCGTGGCGTCGAATCGTATAAATCCTATAATAATAATAATAATAATTATGACGGTTAAACATAGTTTGATTATACTATGCTGTTAGCCGGTGGTGGTAGTATTATGAAGTTGATATTGCCTTTGTCAAAGTTTGGACTTGTGTGGCAATATTCCGTTTCGTACGGCGACAGTGAACGATGTTCGGGGTGGTATGAATGGACATCCGACTGCTTCCGGTTTGATGGTTATTACACCTTAATGTGGAAACCCCGTTTGATTGTGCCGCTTCCGGTTCCTGCTGTCGACTCTTTACAAGCAACAACACCGGCAACTAACGCGGTAAAGTTAATGAAAATTCTAGGCTGTAAATCACCGGCCGAAACGCTGTAACGACCACACAGCGTCAGAATCATCGGATTACTTTGAGATTTATTAAAAAAAAAAAAATATATATATATATGTATACCATTGTCTTAATTTTATGTGTAGCAGACAAACGTTTGCTGTTCGCCACAAACGGCTTAAATACAAGCGTCGAGAAATTGATCATACTTACCACACGTCCAACGCGATTGCGACGATAACACTTTGTCGTACTCTCCACCGAGACATTATTTTTGTTCTCTCAACTTGTAAGCCAGCGCAGTGCAAGTTCATTCGCTCGAAAGAACAGAGAATTGAACATATTGTATTGTAAAATGTATACAAAGCCACAAAGTTCACAGTGTAACAGATAAAGAAATGTTCACAGTAAAGTGAATGAACTTCGGCAGTTTTTCAGTACTCGAATATTTTACAAAAGTTAGATTGCCAATTTTTTCCTCACTTAACTTGTCGAAGGATATGTATATTTTAAATATAATATTTTTCAATTGGTGGTTGGATGCGATTGAGAATGATATGAGGACTGCTGGTGCACGTGAGGATGATGTGGGAGATGGTATCAAAGGGAAGTTTAGGATAAGAGTGACCGACCCCAAAATAGTTGGAATGAAGGCGAAGGAGAAGAAGATATTTTTCAATTGGTAAATTACTTACATATTTTTATTTGATATTTATTTATTTTTCAATAATAAAGTATTAGATGATTTTTATAACTTATATTTTTGCAGGTACTCTGTAAGCAAATACAAAAGTAATAAATATTATATTAAAAATGTTTGGAACCTTAATTTAAAATAAAATAACAAACAATATTAATAAAATAATTGAAAATTTATACTTCAACTTAAAAAGGGCATATAATATATCTACTTTTTTTTTAAAAAAGACATTCTTTTTTTCAATTTTTATTACCATTCTACCTAAAAATGATATAAATATATATTTATGAACGAATAAAAGAATAATGGAAGTCCTTGGCAGAAGAATGTCATTCAAAAATACGCATTTCTTCAAACGTTAAATATATTATATTAAAACTTATATACGAAATATATATAAGGAAATTCAAACAATGGCAGTATGTACTTCTACTACTGGTTTTTCAAGCAGTTATTTATTTATTATGTTTCCACTGGAGTATATTATTAATATAACATTGCATTTGTCTTTTGTTCGCCGTACCTTTCGTTATTACTTGACTTGAATATTATACCTATAAATTATATACTATAATAACTATTATAATAATTATACATTTCTATGCACATTATTCGTAATTACTCTATCATTAGGCAACTGTTAGAACGGTAGTTTTTTTCTAATAAATAACCGAGTACCTAATTATTTATTGTGCGATAATCTCGAGGTCAGATTATTTTGTACTTTTGTACCTTTTGGTCCTTGTAATTTAATTATGTACTTGATATTTTATCAATAATTTCGAGTTTTTTAAATAAATTTAGCACAAAAAAAACTTGTGAAGAGATCAGTTGTTTTTCGAATAATATCGTACCTAACTTATTGCCACGGGTTTTTTTTATTTGTTTATATTATTATAACTGTTTATAATGTTTCGATATTTACATAAATCAAATAAATGTTGGATCGGCAATCATTATTCATAATTATGTCGTTTAATAATGTTCCGCTTAGGGATAATAATCATATTAGTCGTTATAAAAAACATATAATATTATAAAACCTAGTAACAAATATTTTAGCTTTGGTGCACAGCTGAGTATTGGTTTTGGTAATAATTTTTTTTTTGTGTCATGTAAACGCAATTACTTGTTTCTTCTGAACCGATTTATAAATTATTTGTGAATAATGCGAAAATTAGCAATTCAACGCACGAGGTGCGTTTTTGTTTTGTACCGTTTTATCTACAGACACATGACGTGTGAAACGCTATTGGAAAAGTTTCTTACCGTAACGATAACGCGAAAATCTTTCTGGAGTCGTTTTAAAATATGCAAATATATTATATTGTTCCCTTGACTGCAGTTTGAAAAAGGGAGTGCACGGGAAAGTCCTAAGGCGGTTCGAATGTATTGCGGGAAATGCGATTCATATAAAACGCGAAGGCAAACACAAATATGGTCGAGAACGCAACGATAAAAAATAAATAAAAAATGACTTTATATTGCTAATTGTGTCAGCCGAACACAATTTTCTAACCTGTTCAATCGTTAAAGAAAAATTGGTTTGCCAAACTTATGCAAAATTGTTTTTTATCCATAGTTTTTCCGTCAAAAACCACATTTGTATCCTTCTCGCCCAAGCATTAAATGTTAAAATCTCTTAAAAAATAACCCAAAGGCTGGTGGTCGATCACTATGTTATTTTCATTATATAAAATCATTCTTGTTGGAAAAAGTATTATTGTAGGTTACAATTTGACATTAAAACGTTATCCTATAAAACTAACCTTTAAAGTAATACATTTAACTGGATCATTCAAACCTATCATCTAATAAAATAATGTGTTAAGCAAAAGGCGAATTTCTAAAATGTTCAAAATTCATCAAAACGAATGCTTTAAAATAGGGTTTTTAGCTAAAAAGTAAGTTTAAACTTTTATAATGTCCTTATTGAAAAAAAATAAATGTTAATATTTTAAAATCCTGAACGTCTGTATTTGTTTATTGCTGGAAACATTATGTTAATTAAAACGGCTTCCTCTTAAAAATAAAGGATTAAACGAACGAGAAACTATAAAGAATTATTTTTTTTTTAAGAATCGCGATAGAAAGTTTTATTATTTTACACAGTTTTCTGTTTGATTTCTTAATTATTTCAAAATGTATATATTTGTTGTAAGTGTATTACAATAATTAATATACCATAATGTTTATTTAAATGTTTTAACTCAATACTGATAATAAATAACCTCGACACAGCATAACATATGAAGTAGTATCGCATAATGAAAATATGATTTATACACAGATAAAGACAAATAAGATAATATTATAAACAATAATTATTATAAATTTGCATGGTTGTTGATAGAGCACGGTTCCTTGTGTAATAAACATGTAACGCTGATTAATTTGTTTTTTGTAAATCCATCGCTATCGAGCTCAAACACTGAATTGTACAGACTGAATTTTCTGAAAATGTCGAATAACCTGTCCTAATACTATATACGTTAACGTTTAAGTTTTAAACATTTATAGTAGTCATTTTTGGTGTAGTGTACTAATTTAGATAGTTTTCTAGAAGAAGCATTTTGTATTAACGCTGGAAATTTTTTTTTAATTTAAAAGTGATTTGAGGTAATTATTTTTGATTCGATTGAAGTTCTGCACGTATATAAAACAGTTAAATCGTTCTAGAGTTAAAATTTGACTGATGAAAAAGCGAGTACACACAAATGCAACAACAATCTTTGTTAAACTTAAAAATAATCATTTCACAAAAAATGAGTAAAGTTTTAGAACATAAAAAAAAACAAACAAATTATTCTACAAACGATGGAATACATCCAGGCTATGTTCGTGGGGTGTCTTTTGTGTTCAGCGAGGCGTCAGGAAAATGTATACACAATGAATTGTGATAAAGGGACACATTGCTGTAATACCGTATCACATTATGTTTTATCGTACAAAAAGTCATAAGTCATGTCAACGTTTAGGATATTCTATGGTTAGTTCAGCAAAAATAAAAAAAATATGCCATAATGTATAAAAGTTTTGTAGTTCGTTAAAAAAAAATCATCAAGTAATCATTAATTATTATTTCAATATTGATCATTGTCTAATGTCCGCGGCTATAATGTTAATTATATATATGTTAATATAATTTTTCTTTTAAAGTACAAAAAAGTTAGAATTAATTATAGTACCAGGTTAGTAACTCTCGAATACTATTCAGTTCAGCCAAATTCAGAGATTATAATATAATATATGATCTACAACCGTAATAATGTACAGAAATAATGGACACTACACTTTTTGCCATCTTAATGGACTACTACCTCATCTCTTTTGAAATGTACATTTGCGATATTTTTTTTTCTGTGCCTTGGGTCTAAAAGGGCCAATCTCACTTTTTGCAACTTTTGGCAAATGAGTTTTAAAGTTTTTATTTCTTATAACGCACTGGGTTTAATATTTTACATAATATTTATAGCTTTTTCAATTTTTTCTTGAGAGTGCCCCATATTTTTTCATATTATACAAAAGGTTTAACTTAACATTAGGGAATTTTTGACCGCATAACGAATCGTTAGAGTTTTAAACTATATTCATACCGAATTATCTTACAACCGTCTAATACTTTTAGAATAATTTAAGGGCTTGTAAAAACAACCGGCAGTATATTTTTATCAAAACATTTTTTTTTTTACAGAATAGAGTTCATGGAAATGTTATCTAATTTTTGGTGAAACAAACAGTAAAATCGGACTAATATACTTACAGAAGTGATCACAAAACGCAATTTTCTCCCGCCATCGTAGTAAATGGGATAATGAATTTTCACCCTGGAAAATTTGGACTAATCTGGTTGTTGTCCCAAGCCCTTTATTATTATTTATATTATAAATGATGCTACGGTTTTATTGCAATCATTCGCCTTACCTGTACGTTGTGTAACGTCAATAGATTGAAATCGACATTTTTTTTTTGTAAGAGTGATTTTATTACATTTGATTTATAAGAACTGCTGTGCTGTAGCCTTTTTCCGTTTGTACAATACGGGCAATAAATCGTAAGCCATATAATATTTACAGAGACTATAAATCACCGCCGGTGGCTTTTAAATTTATTGGCGATATTTTGTTTAAACCGTGTTTTGTTTTGATTTTGTGTTCTAGGTAACGGATACATCGAAGGAACTGAACTCGACGGGTTTCTCAGGGAATTCGTTGCGAGTGCTAATACAGCGGACGTCAGCCCCGAGGTAATTTCGAGCGCACCATTGCCACAACCGTTATGTTATATTTTAACATGATCAATAGTTGTATATAATATATAATATGTTTGTACTTTCAAAAGTCCAGCTGTGTTTTTTGCGAAAACTCGATTAAGGCCTAAAACAGAGTGCCAAAATTACGGGGTAGTCTCCTGGTACTAAAATGTGTACAACAAAACGATAAGGGCAACCACTAACCCGAAAACGGAAACCCTAAAATTATGCGTGAAAACATTTTAGACATTTTACCACCGCGACCGGGTTGCTGTTGTCTACCTACCATTGTCACGATATTATAATGTACCTAAAAGGGTTGGTGAATTTATAATAGGACAGTTATTCCCGAATGACCTTTTGGGTTTTAAAACGGTACAACGGGCAGACATATGAAGTCCTCACCGAGTTTCGTCTGTGTTAGAATATCGTTCAGCGCAAACCCATTTTAAGTACTGAGCCCCGGTGTAAATGAGCAATTTTTTCTATCCAAATTAAAATAATAAATAAGTACATATGAATTGTGTACATTTTATCTAGATTAAAGATTATGTCAATACTCGCATTGAATAAGGCAGACAAAAAAAAAAAAAATTAATTTTGCTCAACACTACTTTATATTAAGATATTTGTGTTTAATTATGAAAAAATATATATCTTCTGCATCAAATTATCTCATACAGAAATAGCAGTATATAAAATATTTCGATTTTGTAATAGAAAAATAATTTGTTTAAAAAGTGGCAACTGAAACTATACTTAGAATTAGTAGATATTTTCCTTGGCTTCTGCTGGGAAATTATGGTCTTTTAAGTAGCCAATAAATGTTTTTCATTTAAAAGAGGTAGTCTATAAACATTTTTATCGTGAATATCAAAGTTAAAAAATATCCTCCAAAAAAGAATCACTATACTGTATTATGAATTATAAACGCGGTTCTTAAACAAAATTATTGTTAATATACAAAATCAATGTTTCTTTTTTTTTAAATTTAAATCTGCATTTACTATTTAAAACCGTCACCACTTTGTCCGTAATACATAATATAATATTTAATCCTTTGTTCAAGCACATGTTTTGAAACATCATAAATTCAAGTAAATATGTTTGTAAAACTTATTAGTTCATAAAAAATATATATAAAAATAGAGTTTTATTGACTTTTTAAATAGACATGAAACTTTAAGAAAAATATATTGAGCTATAGTTTACCCTTATTATTATAAACGATGAGATAAAAACTGAAATCCTTATAACAACTATACACTTCCATGTTTTAATGAATAATAATTATTCTTATAAAAATAAACGAATCAAAACAACTCGGTGAACTCAGTAGGCTTAGCAAGGGTAAAATGTACAGCCACCAATTTGTCATACAATATAGAATGTGAAAAAAAGACAATTATTTTATTTTTACAGCACACACCGTATATGTGTGGCGATTTCACGGGTTAGTATATTTTTTTTTTACATAAAAAGACAATAAATTAAAAAAAATAATGAACGCCGGGATTTGTTTTGTGCAAGCTGTCAGCTGGCGGAAAATTCAAATCACCTTTTATACGTTGTTACAACTAGAGTACATGAATTTCTCAGACAAATACGTTTCCTCTTTATAGTTTATACATGTATTTGTTGTTTTATGCCCTCATACGCGAAATTGGGATACTTCGAAATTCCCTACTGACATTTTTGCGGTTGTCAAAATATGAAATATTTGTGTAGTGAATATTTTACCTCTCCGTACATACTATCGAATGTATTGCACACTTATAGCGGTTGCGATAACAATAACAGTAACGATATTGAAATGAGACGGACCTAACATATTTTATAGTTTTATTTTGGGTTTAGGAAATATTTCCTGGGTCGTGGATGAAAAAAAAAATCGTTATTATTCCTTTACAATCTATCCGGGATTACATCAAATCAACGAAAATTGGTTCGAGTAAACAATGTGGTTGTAAAGATAAAACGTGTTCGAGAAGAATGTATTTTTAAAAAATGTTGTTGTTATTGTTACTTTTTTATCCATCCCGCATAGTTTGGTGTAACAAGATATTTTAGAAATTCGGTAAGTATAGACACCGGTAAAATAAAAAAAAAAAACATATCCCCGTTGAAACAACAACTTTGACTTTCTTGGTTTATTGCTTTAAGCAATCTTGTGCAATCGCTATCTCCGTGCTTGTATTATAGCTTGTTATGTATCTTTCAAATATAAGATTGGCTCTCTTTTTTTTTACCGTCTCTCTTTCTCTATCTTAAACTAGCAAAGGTTTCCTGTGTGGTTTTTGTTTTTAACCTCAAGACTAGGCAAAAGAAAATCATTTTTAGACTATTACTAGTAGAAGGTATTTTTTACAATGAGCTAACGAATACTTTAACTCGGTCTTATCAGCTTCGCTGTTGTGAGCAATACATTTATATATTATTCTCTGACCCGCATTGAGCGTTTCTCGACCGTTGATGTCTTTGCGGACTAAGTATTTGAAAAGATCATTTTAACCCCCTTCTCCCTTATTTTTTTTTTTTGTCTGGATCCGAACGGATATAATACGGGCTTTGAAGGCGACGGAAATTAAGCCTTAACTACGATCTACTGTCATGATCGACGGACGACCATTGGATACTATTTATACTTAACCCGTCGTTATCGCTAAAACCTGCTCGGGGCAGAGATTCTTTTGTGTGTGTGATACTCGTATTATTATACAAAAGCGTAAAGCCTCCCAAAAAAAGAAAAAAAAAATGATTTAAGCTTAAAAAAAGTGCAAGGTGACAAGATCGATGTAACGTTTCAACGATTCATCATATTTTTTTTTTTCATAGAATATTATATCCTTTTTTTGGATGAAATATTTCATACCAAAAACCAGTATATTGAGCAAATCAAAATATTTAATTTTTGTAAATGGATTTGAATATACCAACGGGAATTAATGTTGTTAAACAGTTATTAATATAATACAATACTTAACTTTTAATATTTTTCGGAAACCAGTGTTAAAAGTAAAATATGGATTGAATTCAAAAGTTAACTTGTATTTAAAAATAAACGCCCTCCTGGTAGAACATATTTTTCAATATTTTCTTCAAAAAAGTTCATGATATAATTCCGTGTACAACAGTTGTTTTAGTACTTTTATTTAAAATAGTTTCTATCTAAAATAGTTATACTACACATGCATAATTTAAAGTTTGAGTAAAATTAATCGAATACAAGTCTTTGCTATATTTTTTATGTTTTTTAAATATTAGAAAAAATAAATGTAGAAATAGCTTAATTGTCTAATTGCAATTAAAAATTATTTAGTGCCTATTTTAAATAATTTCACAATGTTTAAGAATACTTATCAATATTGGTTTAACAATGAGTTATTTAAAAAGAGCTAAAAAAAAAATTAAAGTCAAAATCCTATTACCAATACCAATTACACTAAAATGAAACTGTCTCAATAGCTTATTGATTATAAAATAGAATATGTCCATAATTTCTATGTAATTGCTAATTACTTTGTATTTGTGATAAAAAGCCACTGAGAGTTGTTATGATCGATTTTTTTAGGCTTTAATATTACTGTTAAAATAAGACTTATTCGAAATGTACCATGGCCCCCTTAAATAAACATAACTGTGTTTTTCGCATATTCAAATAGCTTTTTTTTTTTTTATTCCAAAGTCAAATCATATCAAATCAAAGTGAATTCTTTATTCGGTTGACCTTATATCTATCGCCAACTTTTTCGGAAACTTATCCATAGTCAAACGAAGAATGCCGCTTGTCAACAAGTACACTGTTGTTCAAAATTTAGAAATCCACACTCAAAAGAGTCTGAATTCACATTAGGTCTTTCCAATCGGCCGTTTGTTTCCCGTGTGCATTCTGTCGTGGGATAAAAATATAGCAAGTTTTCGGGTCAGCGATTTCCTTCTACTTGAGCAAATCAAGACTCGAGTACCATCCAATTGCGTTATAGTGCAACCTTATTCGCTTACACAGACTTTTGCACATCAAACGACAAACATTGAAGCGTGATTTTACGCAACTAAAAATGTATACTCAACCTTTTCTATGTATAAAATTAAAAAAAAAAAATGCTTTCCTATCTTGGCAAACGCAAACCTTACTCGGGCTTTTCGCCAGCAGCTGTTGTGCGAGCACTATGCGAGGTCGGGGCTTTTATTTTTTGTCCAGTAACTTTTTTCTCATACATTATGAATCCCGCTTTAACGCAGATTCATCAAAATGTCTTCACTGACAGTTGACCCGAGATCATGCTACACCGAATAGTTTAGACTCTAGACGGTCTGAATATTTTAAGCCCCTATTGGAGTCTGATAAATTGTAAAGGGCGTTGTTTGATAATATATGAAACCCCTTCCACCCCTCCGCCTTTGTGCTAAACTATCTATTATTGATAAAAGAAAAAAAAAAATGAAACTATTCGTAACAAAAAGTCCAAAGAAAATGCTCCAGTTTTACATCCTTTTATATCCATCTTACATGCTACCAGGTCGGCACGTCACGTGTGAAGGGTCAAGATGGACGTTTAGTAACTAGGACTAGCCTTTTCATTATTCATAACTGATAATCATGTTTTTATAGTGATATAAATACTTATGATGGGCTCTTAATAATTTAATATACACGCTGAATCCAAATAATATGCAATCAAGGGTTCCTGGGAGAACAGTGAATTATTAAAAATTTGTTTAGAACCTACATACAAAACACACTCATTTTCCTACAAAGGGTTGCAAATTAATATTTCATTTAATGTCATCGAACAACGTCCAGTTTCTAGTGATTAGCAAAATTGGTCTTGGTCTTGCAACAAGACCAATTAAAGTCTTCAGTGCTATAATGGACTAAGCCACAAATATACACATGTTCGAATTACCGAGATTAATATCAACCATGCATCATTAAATTTAATGCATAAATGGTCTAAGCTACCTATAGTTAATAGTCACTAGATGACAGTAGCTAAACCGTCTTTGTATTTTTAAGTTATAATTATATTTAAGAGCAAGAATGGACTATAAATTGGGGTTTTGGGGCTAGTTCGTTTCTGCACTGAATGCCTAAATTTTCCTCACCACTACCAGTTATGCTAAACTATTTATTTTTACCGCAACGCGATTTTATGCTAAACATTTGATAGTACAGTACCATTAAAAATTAATTCCAACTCCGACTTTAAAAATAATAAAACAAAAGGGACACTCACTTGTTTGCAGCTTATATAGACACTAAACCTCTTAATCCGAGATTAATATTTTGAGTTTTGTTGTTTAATTGGGAAAAATTATTTACATTGTACATACTAACATCAACCTCATTTATTACTGTTATACAATACAATTTCTGAGTACAAAGATGAATACTTAAAATTGAATTGTTGAAGATATGAATAGATTATGTTGAACGAACTGGAAGGGTTCATCAACAATTTATGTCGGCTTTATTTCGAAACAAAGATTATAGTATTCAACTTTCTTTTACATGAATAATTAGTGTTTGGCCCCCAGGAGATTATTGTTCTTGAAGATCTTTTTAAGTAATTGTTCTTGGTTAAATTCTAGTAAATAAGATAATGCTATAGTATAAGCAGCTCATTCGACCAATCATACTATGGTTCTATAAACGCTATTCCGTGGTGTGATCATTTTGCGTGCTCCCATCAATAATCGTATATAATTTGCCCTATATTGTCCAAAAAATTATTTAAATAAATTGTAAATCACAGAAACTATATTTTAAAAATATTAAAATTTTTTTCCTGTGTAGTATATTAGTTAATAGTTCATTTGAGTGTTGCAGAACTTTTGAGGCGTACATAATATACTATAATAATCCTGTTATCTTTCCCGAATCATACAGGTAGTCGTCAGGATTAGAATTGTATGCATAATGTATGACAAACTAGTGATTACTAAACTAACTAACGCACACTAGAAAGTGTGTCTAAGCTGCATTCAACATAAGATATCGTGCAAGCTGCAACGCCCATAATATTGCCTAGTATAGGAAATCACTAACGCGTCTGGTGCAAACTACAATTTAAAAAAATTGGTGTTGAGAGGAAATACGACTATTTTCTCTTGACCCTTGTGGTGAAAATAACAGATGGGCCTAGGGATGATAATAACTGCTGGTATATGTACGCCCAATCCGATGACTAATCTGAATGACTCGTGTGATTTATAGGCGGTGTCGGACGCTATGCTGATCGAACTTAAGCAGTGTTTCATGGAGGCCTACGACGATAACCAGGATGGGAAAATTGACATTCGTGAAGTAATGAATTATGGCAATAAGTGTAACCGCTGCTTTTAGGCAGCGCAAACTCCTATATTGGGGCGATTCATTAAGGACAAGACACTAATTTTCCATTAAAATAATTGCAATTTTGTAGTTTTTATTTATGGTTTTTTTGAAATATTGCAAAACGATTACTAAATATTTACCTTTTTTAGTATTTCCCAGAGTGTACCATCTTTTGAACCTTAAACGGTAACGTATTTATTTAACCTATTAAATTACAAAATAATTTGCTGTCGATGACCAATTTTCGATAATTACTTTTAACGTCATTGAAGCTTACCAAGGGGTGAAGTGTAGTACTAATTTTATCTGTGCGCTTTATTCTACCGCACTCCACCATCCGTTCTAACCATGTCTAGTCTACATTTTCAGCAAATTATTCTCAACTGAATAAACGAATTAAATATTTGTGTTACACGAAAGTATCGCCAAAAAGAAAAACTACAAAATTGAAATTGTTTTCATGAGAAAATGAGTATCTTATCCATAATAAACCACCCTGTACACGATTTTGATCGCGTGATTAATCGTCATTGTATTTTGCAGCTCGCTCAACTTTTGCCAATGGAAGAGAACTTCTTGCTGCTGTTCCGGTTCGATAACCCATTAGACTCTAGCGTCGAATTCATGAAGGTATACTCGTTGTTTCTTATTTAATATAACATAATAATACTTGCATAACGTCCATAGCATAAATATATAGGGTACACTAATAATATAATATCAGCACGATAATATTATTGAGAGTTAAAATCTAATATCGTATGTGTGAAATATATAATATATTATTCAGTATATCATGTTATCAACGCGAAGGCATATGCTATTCGAAAGCGTTTGACAAGGTGGATATTATTTTTACTACTTATATTTTGGAAAAGTTAGATATTGGCTATCCGATATTGTCGCTGTTTTAATCTCACTCGGTAGATTGATGACAGTTTGTTAATTTGTTTGGTGATGAATACGTTTAAGGCAACACCGAGAGTACCTCAAGGTGGGCATTTTATTCCCTTTATTATTAGTTAATCTTTTTATTAACACAGTTTTTAACAATGGCCCTTTTTTGTCGTATACTATTTCTTTGATTATGCACATTTTTTCTCTCTCGTGTCTCGTATTTTAATATTTAACCTTAAATTGTTTGTTTTTTTAATTTTGTATTATTATTGTTATCGATATTTCTAATTCGATTTTTTATAATGCTTTTGCGTTAATCTTTTTATACTTTACTTACATTGTAAAAAGAAGTTTGACATATTTATATATAACATATAAATAAGAACTTGATAAATATTAATATAATACTATATAAATATAAGACTTGAACTTACTGGTTTTTTTTCAGATTTGGAGAGAATACGATACCGACGGCAGTGGTTACATCGAAGCCGATGAGTTGAAGGTAAGTCTAGTACTTAGAATATTATTATTGCTAAATATGCTACTTAGATTTTGTAACAAAACTCATAAAACTAATTATGGAGATAGGGAACATTTTATTGGTTAGTATTCTATGGTTAAGGCTCAAGTTCTTAATCACTTCAGTATTAAAACCTTTTGAGCGAGTACTTCCACTTAAAATTCCAGTAAAACCATGATAGTTTTGTTAAATACCACACAGCATACTATAATCTACCATGTTAAGTGCTAACGGAACAACTTAGTCATTGAAATTATACACACAAAATCTAAATAGGTACGGTTTATTTCTATAACTAAGCAACATACAATAATTATTGAATATTTTAGATGCAATGTTTTTTGGATTAATTTCTTCAACTTAGAAATAATATGTAATTAAAACTCAAAAGTTCAAACACCAAATTGAAGTTTTTAAGTAGGTAGGTACTAAAACAAGCATATCGGTTTTGGAACGTTTCCAATATATATATATATATATATATGTGGTAAAAATGTATGACTTTTTATTATAATTATAATAAAAATATTGATAAAAGAATTCATTTTTTTAAAACTAGACGTGAACAAACACAACAATATACTTACCTAAATAAAAAACTGTTTTTATTAGTCGATAAAAAACATGTCAGAGTATGCGTATTTTTTTATGTTTAATTATATCCCATTATATTAAAATAATTATGTAGATTAAGAACTTATCGAAAACAGTATTATATTGTTGAAAGCGGTATCGAATTTCCCGGAAGTACAACAATTAGTATTTGAATTTTAAATTATGGACGTGCTGCTACCTAATTTTTTGTTTATTCCAACTTTGTTAATTATAAGAAAAACGGTAATTGACTGATATCGGGTTTTGAACAAATTACTAATTAGTTTATGAGTTACAACGGGGCTTTTAAAACAATATGAACAAGAGGAAATGGCACAGCTGGGCAAAGCGAGTGGAAATTATTATTATAATGTTATAATTTATTGCACCTCGCTTCTCGCAGTGCGGTTAAACGTTCAAGGCTTATGAATTTACGAATGTCTGGAAATTGACTTATGCAAATCGGTTATCGATAAGTTTGTTATAAGTAAACAGTGAAAACAAATCTCATTTAATATAACTGTAATGCTTTTGGCAAATGTTGTGAGCAAAAATGTTTTGTTTGGATACATGTTTCGAAGCACAATAGTATACACAGGCAACACACTTAATAACGTGTGTTCCAACCGGCAAGTCTACAAACACACACACACATGAACAAAAGCAGAATAAATATCCAACGCGAGTCGGTTCGACAAAAATGTATTTATTACCGGAGATTATCTTTCGAGGACGGTTATTTGTAAGGAACGTTCAAAGCGGCGATTGCAAGAAACTTGTCTCTGTCTAAACTGCAATCTGTAAAACAATAAAGTGCCGGCATAGAGTTGATTGGTGGGGTAGTAACCATCAGTTTGTAAACAGAAACTATGTAATGTAATAAAATACAAAAATCGATATACGCTTTATAAAAGCTATAATGTGCTTAACATTTTAGTATTAGAGAGAATACAATAATGGACGAAGGAATAGTTTGTTGCCGTTGTTACCCGTAAATCGTAGTTAACAACATAATCAACTTTTTTCTAAATACCTATTGACTGTTGACTCACACATAACCACAAATGACTACAGATTTTTAAGAATATCATATAATTTGTTGTCTACAGTCTAATTTCAGACCTAAGTCCTAAAACTTCGCTCGAAAAAGATAAATAAAGAAAAAGTATCTACCTTTCTAAGGCTAAGTGATTATGACGAAAATTATGTTAATTTGTTTGTTTAGTCGACGTTTGTCGATTGTCTTTATCATAAGAATATTCCACAAAAATATAGAACTAATTTGAATATTAAAAAAAAAAAATCTGGATTTTGAAGGTAAAGGGAAGAACTATTTAAATTGTTGGCCAACTACAAATTTCTGATACAAAGAATTGCTACATAGCGTAATCGGTTTAAAAGATTTCGTGAGCCCAGACAAAAAAAACATCATTATAAAAACAATATCTTACACTCTCAGCTACGCATCGAAGATAAATACAAAATATTCAACGGAAATAAATTGAATCAATTTTAAACATTTTTTTTTTATAAATATAACATGATGATTATTTTTTTTTTGAAAATAAGGCGTGGGAGGTCTAAACCGGAAACTACTGTATAAAATGTTTCGCTTATTTCTTTAATACAAATATGCGGCAACGGAAAACTGAACGGAAACACTTGATAGTATAAAAAAAAAACATTATTGAATATAACCAATAACTTAACCGCGGATTTACGTCGAACTCGTCTGTGCGAATCGTCAAAGCTTTTGTCGAAAAAATACAAGATAAAACGAAAGCATGGAACATTTATGAGAACAATATTAGTCGAATATAAAATATACAACAATAATAATAAAAAAAAAACATAGAAACCATTATTGTTATCGTCGAAAACTTCTCTGACAACGTAGTGTAGATTGTAGAACAAATCAAGTATATAAACAAGACCGTTCAATGCTTTATGGGTTGTCGATGAGAAAATTTGCTCTCAAAGTTGTTATGGACGGTCAAAAGTATCAGTAAATATAATTTTGACATAATAACAGACTTATTATTGTTAATCGTGCAATTTGTATTACGATACGGACAGATTTAATTCTTTATTTTTCGTTAAATTGTTTAATACTTCATATTTTCCTATCCTTTTTTGTCAATTCCAAGTTTTTACAAATTTTTAATTTTTAAGTTGAGTTTGATTAAAAGAAAATATAATAGCAAAATTAAAAATTTAACTAAAATTTGTAAAAAATTCTAACGGGTGCTAAAAGAATAATACAATTTGTTTGCTTACAAGCAATGTGGGCGAATACATTTATACTGAAAACTACAAACATATTTCGAGCTATAATAATAGTAGAAAAAAAAAGAGACTCGTGGTGTCAACTTAAATTCCACGACCGGTTAGAGTTGACCCACGGGAGTGGGTAAGTTGTGACAGACTAATACCGGGATTTCGACAACAATCCCGGAATTTAATTTTCTTCCTTAACGCATTCATGGTGTTATATTGCCTATTCTTCTCGCCGTGTCAACTTTTTAATAACAACACTTGCAAATAGAGGATCACCAAAACACAGCAGTTCGGTTTGCCGACCTACCACCTACCTACCGGACTACGCCCATTTTCCTTTTACTTTGCACAGGCCTGCCATCCTCTTGTATTATTATTACTCCGAATTGCATATCTACCTTACTTGTATTTTGACCTGTGAAAAGAAAGAGCAAAACCACAAAGTCGCAGACAAAAGAAAATTCGCATACCGCCCGGTCTATTTCCGGGTCTTTCCGACACATATGATGGTTTTGAGCGATGACTCGCGGTCAAGTTTGGGTACGCAAAGGGTGAACCCTTTGCCATTAAAAGTGTGCATACATATCATATCACTTTGTGTCGCTTGTATGCGTCTTGGAATGCACAAAATACCAGCCGCGACACTGCGGTAAACTACAAGAGGTGAATTACGTTATTGAAATAGATTTTTTTTATTTTGTATAATAAATCGTCAAAGAAATACACACAACAAACGAACACCGTGTCAGCTCGTCAAGTCCCGGCGGACATTCCGTACAGCAAATCGTCGGTCGGTCTATTCGTTTTCTTTATAAACAAATTTTTTTTTAAAAAGTCTCGACGGTTTAACGTGGTCCTCAGAAGGCTGTGGAAACGATTTTCGAATGTATATAATGTAATAATATTTAATGTAGTGTATATTAATACTACTGATTTCGGATGTCGAGCTTGACCAACGGCTATGTATTGGTTATGAACCTATCAAACACCTAGACGACACGATATGACAAATAAATTCCCATCCCGGTACCGAGCCGGGTAACCCGGACAGCTGTTCGGTTTAGTGTATATCCGTTTAGTTCGAAGGCTAGCAATAAACCATTTTCGACGAAAATTGAAAACGTCTGTAACGTATTTGATGAAATATGATATATTATATGAGATTGGAAATCCACGATTGGCGGGTAATAATTAGCCGGCTGTGAGTTTCCGGACTATCATATCGGTTTATAAATCACCGTCGACGTGCGGGCGCGGTGAGAACCGAATTATATGAAACCGTCATTTTATGCTTTTTGAGTGCTATTGGAACCAGCTGCGGCGCCTCTCCCATATTTTGGAGTTTTCCGGACAAACTGCCCTCTAGCGAAACAGATAAAACCGTGCCCGGTGTTGTAATGCAGTGCATAAAACTTTCGGCGTATTTGTTTCGAGTGGTACTATTTTTCTTTGGACCCTAAATCGTGTTAAATTAAAAACAAACAAAGCCAAATCGATCCGCTAGACTTCGTTAACTCTCTTATATTTAACGCACATTGGGAACGGTATGGGTTATGATCGTTAATCAATTTAATTTCTAGTCTCACGAGCGGTCCTCGCGCTAAAAATAACCGAGACGACAATACAACAATTCGATTGTATACCAAATCCGAACCCATATCAGCTGTCTGGGTAAAGTGAATAAATTCATTTTTGTACATCAACCGACAATGCTGGTGATAATATCAAAAATACAGATAAATTGTGACTAGTTTTGCTAAACTCTTGCTGTAACGGCTTATAAATTTAAAAGAAAAAACGTGTGTTTTCAAATAGCATTTATTTACATCATCGTAATGATAGGATCCTAACCTAAAAATGTTGTATTGTTTAATCCTAATAAAATGTGCCGTTTCCAATCGATATTTTGTACAGATTACTAGCACTCGCTTATCCGCGTGTACATAAAGTATAATATAGTATTTAATTGACGGTTGTATATTAAAAGAGACCAGGTTTAGCGAGTCCCCGACGAGTCGATGAATGGTAATCGATATGATACGCTCTACGTCGTTGGCAACATAGTCATTACCGAGTTTGGCGATGTATATTATATTTTATTTCCTTTTATT